AACATAGGATAGTTTTTATCCCGGTTTTTGAAACAGGGACGCGCGCGATAAAGTTTTTCTGTGACAGACAAAATTCCACGCGGGCGAAGCCGCGGGCGGAAAGCTAGTAACATTCATAAATGTGATGAATCCTAATATTTGTTTTCATAAATTTATTACTTATAAGTGTATTTATCGGTATCCTTCCGTTTGGCCAAATTACTTTTCGCCAAATTTCACTTCGCAAACAACTTATCGCCAAAGTTTCATTTCCCAAATGAACTTTTAGCAACTGTACTTTTCGCAACTAATTCATTTGGTCAAATTATCATTTGGCAAAATTTTACTTGGCAAATGTTTATATGTATAGCAAATGTTTTATTGACACTACACATACTTACCCACCGTTACCCACAAAACAAAGCATAAGGCAGATGATCATGGTTTTCACAAGAATTTTATGTAAAACAAAGAGATTGCAGAAAATAGTATGGTTGCAGAAAGTAGGTATCGTAGAAAATAGTAGGTTAGGTTAGGTTAGAACAGTGACCCTTAACGCGCGAAGGCGAGCGAAGCGTGCCGCGGCAGCGGCCGCCGAGCGCTAGAATCACCTCTATTGTTTAATGAATCATTTGGAAATTTCGATAAAAAGAATTTAATATGAAAATTAATTTAGAACAAATTTTATATTATCTACCCACTAAACAAAATAATAACCACAAGCTAATTTGTAGTAGACAATTAAATTATTTTGTAAATATTTTATCGTAAAATATTTTTGCCAAATGAAAATTTGCGAAACGTTGTTTGCGATGTGATAATTTGGGAAACGTTTTTGGCCAAATATTAGTAATCCGTATTTATCCATATTATTGAAATTCTATATTCGTATTAAATCATATTTTAACATTAAATTAATTTGAAATGGTCCAAAACAGGCAATATTTTGTGCCACAAAACTAACGTGACAGAAACGAATCGCTGCAAAACCGACTCCACGTAGTCTTGTCTGCCCTACCCCTAGAGTGTAATTTAAAAGCCGGAGGCGCGGAGGGAGGGCAGCCCTCGCCCGCTGTAACGAGGCTCAGGCGCCCGGGTGAGCTGGAGCGGCTGAGGCTGGTCGCCGAGGCGCCGAAGGCGCCGATGGCGATCCAAAAAGCCGAAGCTGCGGAAGCAAGCGTGGGTGCCTGAGCCTCAGCCTGAGCCTCGTTACGCTAGGGCGGAAGGGCTGCACATCCCACAGCGCCGGAGACGAGGAGATACCAATGCATGCTGCATGCTTGCTTTCATGCTGCATGCTCTGCATGCTTATTTACTTTATTAAATTATATTTATGATTTTTTAAAGATACGAGTATGTCTACACTATAATATTATAAAGAGGAAAACTTTGTTTGTTTGTTTGTTTGTTTGTTTGTTTGTTTAGTTGTAATGGATAGGCTCAAAAACTACTGGACCGATTTTAAAAATTCTTTCACCATTCGAAAGCTACATAACTCACGAGTAACATAGGCTAAATTTTATTTTGGAAAAAAATAGGGTCCCGTAAAATATTTGGGATTTTCATAAGACGTGGAAAAGCGCCATCTATCGTCATTGGTTAAAATCTTCTTGCGCCTGACAAAAATTTTTGAGGTACGTAAATATTCATGAAGGCAAAGCTGTCAAACGCCATCTATCGACATCATTAGTAAATTAGTAACTAAATATTACATGTACTATATAATTAATAGTGTAGCGCTGTTCGTAAATAATATTGAAAATTTAATAAATAAAGATATTTTATGTAATTGAACCATTCACTGTATGTACCTATTTGAATCATTCACTGTGTTTAAACGAGCAAATCAAAGTGTTAATTACTGACTTTTTACAAACTTCCTTGCAAATTCTTACTATGTGCCGTTACCTACTGAGATGAATATTAGGGTACGGTTCAGCGGCGGACAAATGGGATGGGCGCGTAGGCGATTGTAGTTAAATAGGATAAGAATTACTTCGTTTTTATTTTCTGTATGTAATTTGTAAATTTTTTTGGTAGGGTCTTAATTTTTACCCGACTACGGCAAAGCAAAAGGAGGGTTATGAGTTTGACAGGCTATGTATGTATGTATGTATGTATGTATGTTCATGTGTTCCCTCGTAACTTCTAAACTACTTATCAGAATTCGACAAATGACATATCATTAGAAGCGTCTTAATTGTCCGCTGGTTATAGGCTATATGGGGTTTCACAAAATCGAATGTGGCGCCCTCTAGCGGACAAAACATACAGAGTAAAAAAATAAAGTTAAGATAAATATGTCGTGTTTGGTATCATTTGAAAGCGCTTTACTTGCACATTTCGAATATATATATATTACTAGCATTTGCTTGTGACTTTACCTGTATTCATGGGCTGATTGCATATAATTCAGATCTTTTCGTTCATAGCTTCTTTACTACTTATTAGTTCATCAATTTAACTTTTGTTAATACATATTATGCGCCACAAATACACTTTAACACCAAAATAGTACAAATAATAAAAAGTAAAAAAACTAAAACCCAACTACGACAAAAAACGACGCTGAAAAAGTATAAAACAAGATTTTCAGAATACTGAACTGAACGAAGTTGCCAATGTAGTTGCATAGTAATTTTCATGTTTGGAAAGGCGTAGTCACACGTTACTTAAACCTACCTACCTACCATAGCACTTTGACAACGTGTGACTGCGGTTTTCCAAACATGAAAATTACTATGCAACTACATTGGCAACTTCGTTCAGTTCAGTATTCTGAAAATCTTGTTTTATACTTTTTCAGCGTCGTTTTTTGTCGTAGTTGGGTTTTAGTTTTTTTACTTTTTAATAACTTAGGTTGGTAGGTACTTACTTATTTGATTTTAATGATAATTACTATAGGTACGTTGTTTCGTATGAGAATTGAAGATTTCAGTTGCAGTAGATGATGAGCAGAAAAAAAGACAGTTACAGGTTCAAAGGTTGTAATGCGTAGACCAAATAGTAATGATATGCATAAAATTCAAATTTTGACAGCGATACGTTTTTTAAAGTAGCCAATAAGAGCGCCGCTGAGTGAAGTCACTGCGTTCCGTTTTACGTGGGTTTTAGTTTGGCTTCAACATGCCCCCGGCCTTGGAAGCACCAGCTTCTAATGTGTATTCTCGTGGAACAGCGGGCAGATCTTGGTGAAGGCACGGCGTACCACTCCAGTTGCTGTTCGTATGTCTGCTACTCGAGATACTCCATCCTTGCCCGGAATGGTGGTGATGATGCGACCCAAGCTCCATTTCAAGGGGGGAGAATTGTCCTCCTTTATAACCACAAAAGTATTGGGTTGTAGGTCTGGCTTGTGTTCACTCCATTTTATCCGAGTCTGCAGCTCTGAGACATATTCTTTGGTCCATCGCGTCCAGAAATGTTGTCGAATCTGCTCCACTCTCTGGTATCGGGTGAGACGACTAGTTGGCTCTTCGGAGAGGTCGGTAAAAGCAGGCGCTGTCAGTGGACGACCAACCAGAAAATGCGACGGGCAAAGAGGTAAGAGATCGTGTGGATCNTAAGGTAATTAATTATCCTATATTAGGGTTCACAATAACAACAGTCCTGCAGCCGCGACGTGATTCGAACTTTCGAACTGGCCGATGACCACGCTGTGCTGTGAGTGCTAGTGCTACTAAGTAGGTAGAATAGAAAGAGAATGTTGAAATCCCCGACCGATTAGATACAGGCGGTTTTAGATATTTCAAGCAATACGCGTCAAGAAGAACGCATAGGGCATAGAGAAAAGTAATAATAGGGGCACAGATATGTTTCATAGGGGAATATAGAATTTATATTTTTTCATATAAAGCTTAAGTAGTGATATCTGTGCTATAGCCTGACCAGGAACATAAAAACCCTCGCCATCTAATGGTACTAATTTCTTTTAATGGCAACAGTAACTGAAAACTTCATTGACATGTCACCATGCATGTCAGTCTATTGTTGTCAAAGTGTAAACAAACTTTATTTTAAATGTGTGCAATTGATTTCGTGAATTAAATTGCTAAAATATTTTTATAGTCGTGAAAGAAAAGTGNGGAGCAGAATCACCGCAATAAAAAAATTGCGCAATATTTTGTTGCAATTTCTTACAAAACTTGCGCACAAAAAGCAAATCTAGTATGAAAATCATCAAACTTCTAATGCTCGTAACTCAGTTCAGACTGAGTTTAGAGGTATACATGCCATAGTAAGTTTGGTTTATTACACTATTTTGTAATCAAAAAACAAGGTTTGGTCGATGGCCGCGCGAAAAAAAAAGACGCCACTTTCCATACAAAATCTGGCATTGTCATTTGAACGCGGGCCCGCGCTCTTGTATTACTATGGCGGCCATATTAAATCAAAAATCAAAATCAAAAATATTTATTCAGTTTAGACCACAAGTGGCACTTATGAACGTCAATAGAAAATAATAAAAAAAGAAAAAGGTAGCCCTTATGGGGCACTTTACATGTCTCCTTATCTTTTGGGCCCTACCAGCGCTTCGAGACAAACATATGGCAAGTGCATTAGCATGACACACCGGACGCAGGGCGGTAGTAGCGCGTTGAAAGCGGTTTTCGAATATTTAAATTTTTGCCCGCGTTGCAACTGCTTTGAAACTGCGCTGCTTTCAGTGTCCCTCAGCCGCGCTGCAACTGACCCGCACTGCTTCTGACCCGCGTTTGGTCTGTGGAAGCCTTTAACCTAATCCTATAATCCTAACCTAACCTAACCTAAACTACGGCCAACGAGAAGCGATACCAAATGTAAACAAACCCAATGTCATGGGTGAACCCGTCTGACTTTGACATATTTTGGCGGGAGAACGAGACATTACGACAAATACACAAGATGGGAAGAGACAGAATATAATAATATTGTCAACTCGACAGTCGTATCGACCTTTTGTATCGCTGCTAGTTGGCCGTACTTTTGGCTTAGTATTCTAATATGGACCTTAACTAACTGCATATAACGTCGGCAGTTGATCACCGGTCTGCAAACGGTCCGCCAGAAGGTCAACTTGGTCAGCGACGAGATCCGCAACCTGCAGACCAACATGGAGTCTTTCTCCATACAGTACCACGAGTGCATCAAGAACAAGGGTCAGTACTACCACAGAATAATAATAAGTACTACGTACAGAAGTTTTACTTCGCGAAGGTATTTAAAAAAATGTATGCTCAATGTCATTAACAATATGGTGTAATTTAGCCTGTCTCAAGAGTCAAGCACCATTTTGTTGACAAACGTCAGTGATCGGCACTGCGCCGAAGCTATAGGGCTGACTTCGGTAAAATGATGTGACGTGAGGTGCCAAACTGCGGAAAATGGAGGTACTGGCTGTTGGACTTTAATAAGTGATTATCCTGAACAAATCCATAACAGAAAACCTTACAGAAAAAGTTTTTGTAGGTTTTTTCTTGATTTGATGAAAAGCATATTTTTTATTCCCGCTACTCTTCCCGCGGGTGTCGTAAGAGGCGACTTAGGGACTACACATCAAACAGAGAATGGGCAGCAGCGCTCTCTGAAAAACATCAATCTTTTAAACTGCGATCTCCAACCCGCCTGCCAAGCGTGGAGATTATGGCAAAACCCTCCACTATAGTGGAGGAGGCTCATAGTCCAGCAGTGGACTGTAAAGGGCTGTTGATGATGATGATATTTTTTATAGGGTAAGAGTCCCTATCTATCTAAGTAAAAATATTTTAAATGCATAAAATTAGTATTTTCATGTCGTTTTTCTCAGAGAAATAGCTAATAGTCTTTATTTTAATCTAATTCGACATATCTAATAATTTTCTAGTATTCAGCACCCTACTCTTATACTGAATTGGCTATAAGCTACTATACCGCAAAATAACTGTCCCCAATGTTATTGGGCGTAAATCAATATAAAAATCGAATAATACAATTATTTTTAAATATTAGAGAGCAATATTAGGGGATATGCCATATAAAACAATTCAGCCTAAGGATTAGATGGGCACAAGTATAAGTAATACCCAAAATCACAACAACATAAATAGTAAAATAAAGGCCTAACTTTGAAATATTTTTTTAAACAATTTTTTTAAATACTCATAATCAATATTTTCAAAAATGTCTTATGTCAAATTATATAACAGATACCAGTGATGAAGTATGCTTAATTTGAAAGTTGTAGCTGATAAAATAAAGATTTTAGAGCCAATTATGTAAAAAACCGCGATCCGCCGATTGGTTTTTTGGCTTTTCCCAAAAAATTGAATTTTGGAATTGTGCCCATTCATTATTAAGGGTGCGATATAGAAATATCTTATTTACCGTTATAAATTTTTGATGTAAAATCCCGTGAAGTGATAATTATAAATTCAAATTCAAAATTATTTATTGTGAAACATAGGTGTTTACAGATAAAAATATAACATGATAGTCTCACTATGTTTCGCCTGGTTGGCATACAATAATATAAGTGACTAGCGGCCGCCCGCGACTTCGTACGCGTGAATCTCGTTTTACCCCCCCTTCATCTATCTTACGCGGTTCAGATTTATTCATACAAATGTTTTTTCCCGCTTACTCCCGTTCCCGTGGGAATTTTGCAATATCCTGTTGTAACTAAGCTTAAAGTTTACTAAGGTACCTGCATGCCAAATTCCAAGCGTCTACCTTACGCGATTTAGATTTTTTCATACAAATGGTTTTTCCCGCTAACTCCCGTTCCCGTGGAAATTTTGCAATATCCTGTTATAACTAAGCTTTTTAAGTTTACTAAGGTACCTGCATGCCAAATTTCAAGCGTCTACCTTACGCGGTTTAGATTTTTTCATACAAATGGTTTTTCCCGCTAACTCCCGTTCCCGTGGGAATTTTGCAATATCCTGTTGTAACTAAGCTTTAAGTTTACTAAGGTACCTGCATGCCAAATTTCAAGCGTCTAACTGAAGCGGTTTAGATTTTTCATACAAAAGGATTTTCCCGCTAATTCCCGTTCCCGCGGGAATTTCTAAGTATCCTATAACCTGCCCAGGAGTATGAAGAATAATTGTACCAAGTTTCGTTAAAATCCGTCGAGTAGTTTTTGTTTCTATAAGGAACATACAGACAGACAGACAGACAGACAGACGGACAGACAGACAGACAAAAATTTTACTGATTGCATTTTTGGCTTCAGTATCGATCACTAATCACCCCCTGATAGTTATTTCGAAAATATATTTCATGTACAGAATTGACCTCTCTACAGATTTATTATAAGTATAGATAAATAAATAAATTAATAAATGTCATTTTGTGACGAGCATGAGGTGGAAATGATGCTTACGCCGGGAGCAGCAAACACTGCGTTAACGATCTCGGCGATAAGCTTAAGTCCGGCTATTTGTTTCGTCTCGATGGGTCACTTGCACGCAAAGAATGTCACAGTTGGTTTTGCGGCAAAGGTTAGACAGAATCTCTGATTTGTCCTGTGAGAACCCTTCAATATTAATCGAGACTGCACTCGGGAGGATTTGATGAGTGCTACTGACAACGCCACTCAGGTGGCGGAGTTTTGGGCTGACACTGTGTAGGTTTGTTGTCGACACGAAAGGAAGAAGAATTAATAAATAAAGTAATAAATGCAACATAATAGTTTAAAATATTTATTTATGTTTGTCCCCCTTAGGGCACATTACATACCTTCAACAAGCGGGCCCCATGACGACGGAGCGCCGCGACTTGGAGGCATGTCTGCGCATCCAAATCGAAGAGATGGAACGGAAGCTCAACGTGCTGGTAAGTGGGCTTTATGACGGTCCCCGTGGGCCCCGTTTAATTTATAGCGGTCCCCGTGGGCCCCTTTTATTTATAGCGGTCCCCGTGGGTACCTTTTGTCTATAGTGGTATCCATGTATGTCTTAAGAGATGGGGACCTTCATATATAAGTGGTCCCTAAGAGGCTTTTCACTTCTAAGAAGTCCCCATAGGGCTCTTTAATTTATAACGGTCTCGATATTTTTTTTAAAGATTATTATTGATTATTATTATTCGATAAGCCCCTTCATTTTTTAGGACCCAATGGGCTTTGTAGTCCGTAGCTGTCCCCATGTACTGCTTTAGTTTGTAACGGTCCCCTTGGTTGCCTTAGATGGGATGGGGACCTTCATTTCTAAATGGTCTCCGTAGGCCCCCTTTGTTCGCAGTGGTCCCCATGAGTTCCTTTTGTTTATAGGGGTCTCCATGGTTGCTTTAGATGAGATGGGGCCCTAAATTCCAAGTTATCTCCATGGGGCCCTAATTTTTATAGCTGTCCCCGTAGGCCCTTTTGTTTATAGTGGCTTCCATAGTTGCATAGATAGGATGGGGCCTTTCATTTCTAGTGGTTTCTGTAAGCCCCGTTTATTCATAGTGGTCCCCATGAAACTTTTTGGATGGGGCCCTTCACTCCTAAGTGGGCCCATAGGGCTCTGTTATTTATAGCAGTTTCCTTTTTTCATAGGCCCTTACGTTCGTAGCTGTCCCCATTGGACTGTCCCCTATTGACATGGCTCTTTCCAATACACGGTGTTGATTTCAATACACGCCATATTTAGGGAGTTGATTAAGTAAGTTTTGAAAAAAATTTAAAACGAACTTTAACTTTAGTTAGTCAAAGAAAAATACCTATTTACACTACCTACTTTACGTGGCTTCCTTCAGTAGGCTATCCGACATGATAAGTGAGCGATCAGCTTAGCTCAATGGTGCCGCAGTGTAAACTATTACAAGTCATAATAACTCTGGAACTCTCTGCCTGAAGAGACCAGGCAAGCGTCTAGTAAGTTTTCTTTTAAAAAATCTGTCCATAATCACTTCCTCCAAATGATCTCATCTTCATGAATTGTAATTTCAGTTTAACTCAATCATCTTTTTTATGTATGTATTTATTTATTATATATTTTATATATTATTTATGTATGTAGCATATTATTATTTGTTTTTGTTTTTCTTTCCTGCACTAGAAGTACCGCCAAACAAATTTCTTTTCTGCTCAACCCAAAGGTAAACTGGTCGAGAATGCTTTAGTGCATTAAGTTCGCCTTATGTACAAATTTATTTTGGCATAAAAGTTTAAATAAATAAATAAATAAATAATAGATCACACACACAGGTGGGGCTCGCTCGCCTTCGTGAGTTGCATAAGAACTAAGCTCAAGAACTGTATTGTTTGTTGTAGTGGTTGTAATTTTTTTAAATATTGCATGAGTAGATATAGTATAGTGTAGTAATTAGCAGGAAACACAATGAATGCTCGGGCTGGGTGGCGCCATCTTGCTGTAACTTTAATAATCTTTAAAAATCTATTAAATTCCATACAAAAAACACCTAGTTACTGCTATGGTAACGGTTGAAGTAGGCTGGTGCAACTGAGCCCGAAAAACTAAGGACGAGAACTATTGCCGACAAACTGTAATGCAGTTTGGCAAGTGTATCTTTATATTTGATGTGTATCCTTTTGTGAACAATAAATAAAAAAAAAAAATCACCTAAATAAATATGGTGAGGATTGAAATCAACACCCTGTATATTCCCACCACAATTTAAACCTTATCCCCTCATCATAAGGTCTATTTTCACAGGTGGCCCAGATCAACCAATCGCAGCTGGAACTAGCGGACCACATGAAAGAGAATATCGCGGCATTGAGACAGCTACAGAGCCAAGTCCTGGATGAGGAGCTCATCAAGTGAGTTTCAACCTTATACACCACTACATTTTTATCTCCGAAAAAATTTTAAAAGGTTATGTAGAAATGTGTGAAAAATATAGAGTAAAAAAAAAATTTTTTTTTTCTTAAGTTTTTTTTTTTATTAAATTTTCTTTAGTTCGTATTTTACGCGTCACAGCTGGGCCACTCCGAGTAGTCGTACGCGCTCGCACATTGTCCCGATCTGTCTGTCTCGCTCACGCCTCGACCACGCTTCCAGTGTTATTATTACTTACTTAGCTAACTTAGACCATTTTAATGCAACATTTCAAGTAATTTTGAGTTCTAATAAGTGTTACATAATCTTACGTAAATAGTGCTAGCGACGCGTGTGTCCATAAATTACCAATTTTGGGAGGAAATTTTGAGTAACTTTATTTAACTTTTTTTTTTTGCATAAATAGGATTATCAATAACTCATTACCCAGAATTTTTTTTCGGTGATAAGAATTTTGTGGTGTATACTGGTGTTAAGGACTATATTAGAACAAAGGCGACATCTGCTGGTGAAGTGAGTTTGGACCTTATGTACTGATGTTAAAGACCACATTAGAATAGCAGACAATAGGGCGAGACAGGTGTTAGAAGAAAGATAGAACTCAGCATTTATAGATCTTTTCATCCACGAAGAGATCCAAATCGGTGAAAATTGACTGAGATATACCGAACTTAAGCTCAAAAGTCGAGCCCCGTGACGTCACTACGTGGTGAAAAGTGTATCACGGTGTGATGTCACACGGAACCTCCAACGCATCATAACTTCGTGTTTACTTGTTTCTTGGTTCAATAAGAGTATGCGTGTCAAATATTTGTTGACAATAATTATAAAAATAAATAAATAATAAATAAATAAATGTTTGTACAATTTCACACAGCGCCAGCTAGCCCCAAAGTAAGTAACTTAATGCTTGTGTTATGGGTGCTAGCTTAACGGATATACTACTTATATACTTTTTTCTTAAATACATAAATATTATACATAGTCACACCCAGACCCGTCACAGAAATTAAAATTCATCATTTCAATTTCTGCCCGGCCGGGAATCGAACCCGGGACCTCTCGGTATAGTAGTCCGTTCTGAACCACTACACCAAACGGCCGACTAAAATAATTATATTATCTTTGTTAGCTGTCCTTAAAATAAATAATTGACGGACGAATATAGTCGAACCTCTAACTAGCTACTAAGGAACCCTATCCACTTGTGTTCAAATTGGATACACACAAAATATTTGTAATTAAACTGGATCCTGTTCTTTACTGGTCCAGTTTAATGACAAAACCGAATCGGAAATTCGAACGAATCGGTTTTTTGTACCCTGCAAACGGGACATTAGGTTGTCACTGCGGGAAAGACATACTACTCTGGGTTTTGCTAAACCACCAATACTTTTCTAGATGGAAGCGCGAACAGCAACTTAGCGGTAACGGCGTGCCCATGCAGTCCAACCTGAACACCATCCAGGAGTGGTGCGAGCTGCTAGCCGACCTCATCTGGACCAGCCGCCAGCAGGTCTGTACCCATCATCATCATCATTATCATCATTTCAGCCGCAGGACGAACTAGGCCTCCCCATGGGCGTACCTTTGAAAGAGCTAAGTCAAACGTTCTGATCCAAAAACTGACTTGTCCTTCCTTCCTAGGTATGACTTGCCCCCCCCCCCTAAACGCCCCCTCTAGGCCACAAGCTGAGTATGATTTGTCCCTCCCAGGCCAGAAGCTGGGTATGACTTGCCCCTCCCCCCAGTACTTATCATCATCATCATCTCAGCCACAGGACGTCCACTGCTGAACATACGCCTTCCCATGGGCGTATCTCCCGAATTAGCTTTGAAAGAGCAAATTCAAACGATCTGACTTGAAGGCCAGAAGCTGGGTATGACTTGCCGCCCCCTAGGCTAGAATTTGGGTATGACTTGTCCCTCCTTAGGCTAGAATTTGGGTATGACTAGTCCCCCCCCCCCCTAAGGCAGAAGCTGGGTACTACTTGTCCCTCCCTAGATCAAAAGCTGAGTATGACTTGTCCCTCCTTAGGCCAGAAGCTTGCTATGTCTTGTCCCCCCCTAAAGCAGAAGCTGGGTATGCCTTGTCCCAGGCCAGATGATGGATGACTATGAGTGGTGTGAGCTCTTAGCTGACCTCATCTGGACCAGTCGCCAGCAGGTCTGTACCCATCATCATCATCATCATCAACATCTCAGCCACAGGACGAACTAGGCCTCCCCTTGGGTGTACCTTAGAAAGAGCTAAGTCAAACGTTCTGATCCAAAAACTGACTTATCCCCCTTTCCTGGGTATGAGTTACCCCCCCTAGGCCCCCACTAGGCCACAAGCTGGGTATGATTTGTCTGCCCCCTTAGACCAGAAGCTGGGTATGACTTGCCCCCTCTAGGCCACAACTAAGTATGATTTGTCCCCCCCAGGCCAGATGATGGGTATGACTTGCCCCCTCTNATACTTGTCCCCACTAGGGTGAAGCTGAGTATAACTTGCCCAGCAGCACAGAATAAGTAATAGTACAGGTACAGAAGGATTACTCCGCAAGACGATTTAAATAAATGCGAGTCTTGCTACGACGCGATACAGTGAAATTCAGCTCGCACAGCACTACGTACCTACAATTTTATTTACCTACAAGTTTTGTCTCTTTCTATCGCGTGCCTCTGAACTCTTCTTACGCTGTTAGGGTTGCTGTCTAGTGAAAAAATAATTAATCTACTTACATGTAATGAGGTACGTATGTAGGTAAGTACGCATTCATTATGGAAAACCTTGGGAAAGGCCTTTGTCCAGCACCACTGCTGGACAAAGGCCTTTCCCAAGGTTTTCCATAATGAATACCAAATGACGTCCACACGTCATTATTAAGAAGGTTTTTCTTAATATTAATTAATTATTATTGTACACAGGTGACCAACGTATCGCGAATCAACAATAAGACAATCCCTGAGCTTCGTCAGCCGCACCTCATTGAAATGTTGGAGGATATGAGCAAGCAGGTACTGTGACCAGAATCCATATCCACGTGTCATTTCGATACGATTACTCGATAGGATTTCTACGCTAAGATAGATAGATAACGTTCGAATAATATAATCTACGCAAGCAATGTGTTCAGTGCCTCTCTAGCACGAAAAACTTTCGAGTTCAAATCGTTTGCGTACTCGAATCGCCATCAAAAGATTTAGTAAGAAAACTACAACAGCGCCCTTGTGATTGTGAACGTGTCGTAAAGTGAACTTAGTATGAAATGTGGTTGCACGAAACTTATTTTGACAATCAAAATTGTCACGTTATCGTTCAATTCGAAGGTTGAGTATCGAACAGTGTTGGCAAAAAGTTAATCTGATTAATGATTAAAAATTAATGATTAAAATCATAATCAATTTTTTTTGATTATGATTAATTAATCTTAATCAAAATTTTTGATTAATGATTAATTAATCATAATCAGTAATCGTTAATTTGATTATTTGATTAACTATCCACTATTTTCATAAGAAAAGGGTTGGGGGTGTATGAAAAGGTACCCGCGACTCATAAAATGTCTAGCAAAGGGGGGATCTGGAGTTGTACTGTCGTTTTCCCAAAAAACTGCGTCAACTTTCACTACTCAAAACACTTATCGCACTAGTTTTGTTTCTCACAATTCCTTCTATTCTTCCGGTATCCTCCAGCAAAATTGGGTCAGGAAAGAAGTTAAGAGGGCTGGCTGACGATAGGGGAAAAGTCCCCCCCCCGCCCCCTCCCAAGGNCCAGATGATGGGTATGACTTGCCCCCTCTTAGGCCAGAAGCTGGGTAATACTTGTCCCCCCTAGGGTGAAGCTGAGTATGACTTGCCCCCCTTAGGCCAGAAGCTTGCTATGTCTTGTCCCCCCCTAAAGCAGAAGCTGGGTATGCCTTGTCCCAGGCCAGATGATGGATGACTATGAGTGGTGTGAGCTCCTAGCCGACCTCATCTGGACCAGTCGCCAGCAGGTCTGTACCCATCATCATCATCATTTCAGCCACAGGACGAACTAGGGCTCCCCATGGGCGTACCTTTGAAAGAGCTAAGTCAAACGTTTTGATCCAAAAACGGACTTGTCCCCCCTCCCTGGTTATGAGTTGCCCCCCCTAGGCCAGATGATGGGTATGACTTGCCCCCCAGGTCACAAACTGGGTATGATTTGTCTCCCCCAGGCCAGAAGCTGGGTATGACTTGTCCCCACCTAGGGCAGAAGCTGGATATGTCAGAAAGGCGCTGGATGCAGGCTGCAACCAACATTCTTCTACCCTTTTTTGTTTACGGGCATATTGCAGGTCCCATAAAGTCAGAATTTCAGAAGTCATCTGGACCAGCCTACAGCTGGTCTGTACTCATCATCATCATCTCAGCCACAGGACGTCCACTGCTGAACATACGCCTTCCCATGGGCGTATCTCGCGAATTAGCTTTGAAAGAGCAAATTCAAACGATCTGACTTGAAGGCCAGAAGCTGGGTATGACTTGTCCCCCCTTACATCATAAATTGCAAGCTAAATAAAAGCTTGTAATAAAGTCGGGTTTGTTCAAATTTCGAGAACGACTGAACCGATAAAAGCATTAGAAAATTTACGAAAAATAAAATAAAATTGTATCCCGTACAAAATGTTCATGGATTTTGTTATTTTTATTAAATACCTTTACGCCTGAGTTAAATGACACCGACATCAAGGTTCATCAATTTAAGTTTAAAATAATAGGCAGTAATGTATGAAGAAAGAGCTTCTATTCTGTATCTACCTATGCCCGTGTATTTTTGATCGGTGTCAAATCGGAGTTTTTGGTGCGGGGTACGCGGGTGTTGCTCGCGGCGTGAAGGTCAAACGCCCAAGGTCATTGAGGACTCTAATCGCCTTAAGCGCGAGCGATAAGGATGGGTAGCTTGGGGTCATTGGACAAAATTCTACGTGCATACGGACCAACAGATGGCGCTGACTCACGAAAACTATGGCACACGTCAAGGCGCCTACAATCCTGAATCGCGGTGACGAAGTTTTTTATCCTGCTTAGTATATATAGAAAAACCGAGACGGTATCAAGTGGATCTTAGCTTCCATGTTGTCGATCTTATGCCCGTTTTAAGTGACCCCTGTGAAAACAAAATTCCTGTTATTGTGTTACCATAGGGGTCACTTAAAAATTAGGGATCGATGGTGAAAACGGGCATTAATCCCTCATCATCATCATCTCAGTCACAGGATGTCCATTGCTGGACAAAGGCTTCCCCCAATTCCCTCAAGCATTTCCTTCCAAGAATCGTCCACACCCAGGTTCTTCGAGCGACCTTCACCAGATCGTCGGTCCACCTAGTAGTCACCAGATCGTCGGTCCATCTTGTGTAGTGGTGCACATGGGGTGTCGCTTTAAGTATAGATCAAGCAAGAATGATGGTTAATATAAGGGCAAAAGGGCAAAGCGCCTGTTGAGTGCGGAGACATCCTCAACAACAGTGGCGTCATGGAGTACCAGGCCACCAGCCGCCAACTCAGCGTTAGCTTCAGGTAAACACCAACAGATGGCGCTGTCGCACGATAACTATGGCACGCACCGCCGCGCCTACAATCCTGCATCGCGGTGACGAAGTTTTTTACCCGGCTTAGTATATATAGAAAAACCGAGGTGTCAACTAGAAGGTNGTGCCAACACTGGTATCGAATTTTGTCGAATACGCAAACGATTCGAAGACGAAAGTTGTTCATGCTAGAGGTACAGACCTGAAATATTATGCGTTTTCCTAAAATTTATTTTTCGCAAAATGTCTGCTATTCAAAATGTGAGCACGTCAACAGCAGCTGGCATAACTTCAGCTGCTTAAAATGTCAACTATTCAAAATTGTCTGTCTCCAAGAATAACAGTTTATGTACAATGTTCGCTTTTCAGATTATACAAATTATAGAAATGTAAACATTATGAATTCTTATTTTTCTTCTTATTATTATGAGAGCCGTGTGGTGACGGCAGAGTAGAATACATTTGTCACCAACCCCTACTCTTCCCGCGGGTGTCGTAAGAGGCGACTTAGGGACTACACATCAAACAGAGAATGGGCAGCAGCCCTCTCTGGAAAACATCAATCTTTTAAACTGCGATCTCCAACCCGCCTGCCAAGCGTGGAGATTATGGCAAAACCCTCCACTATAGTGGAGGAGGCTCATAGTCCAGCAGTGGACTGTAAAGGGCTGTTGATGATAAACATTGTGAATCTTCTAAGACCGCACATTTTAAATTAAAGACATTTCGATAAAGCTGACAAAATAGGAATGAAAACATGATGAGTACGTATACTTTTTAAGAATTGTACATTTTAGGAAAACTGATATTTCGGGCCTGAGCCCATAGGATCGCCTCTCAGCGATTGGTCACTTGACGTTTAATCACTGGCATCCGATTAAGCCAAACTTCAGAATAGGTAAAAGGTGAATACTGTGGAGGCTAAGAATATTAGTGTAAACGCGAAATTTGTGGATATTTAATAAGTAACTAATACCAATGTAATCTTGCAATCTGAATTGCACATTTTAAGCCCGCTGGATGATTTGCTAATTGGACGAAATGCGCTCAAACGAGCCTTTACTTCTCGAATCTGACTCGCACTTGACCGATTTTAATGTATACGATTTCATTTTTTTAAGGTGACCAACTTGCTGTCTACCCTCGTGACGTCAACATTTGTGATAGAGAAACAGCCGCCGCAAGTCATGAAAACCAACACTCGGTGAGTTTTTAACAATAATATACAATTTGCTTACGTCATAAAACATGACGTCACGATAAAATGTATTGCACGCGCTCTTAATGTGCTAAGATAGATCACCACCATAGATTCTCCCATAGATTTTAATCTATACAGGGTGTTAGGTAAATTAGTATATAAGCCGATACAAGCCCATGTTAACATGGTCATATAAATGGTATGGTGAAGTCAGAAAATTGATATCTTCATTTTAATTATTTTAATTTTCATACAAATCGGATTTTATAAAATTTATTTTGTATGAAAATTAAAAAACAAAATGATTATATCAAATTTCTGACTTCACCATACCATTTATATGCCCATGTTAACATGGGCTAGTGTCGGCTCATATACCCATTTACCTAACACCCTGTATAAATAAAAATTCATTGATGTTCGTTAGTCTAATTAAAACTCGAGAAAGGCTGGGCCGATTGAGCTGATTTTGGTTTTAAAATGTTTGTCGTAGTCCAGGGTAGGTCTAAACGGTGAGCAAATACGCGCGCGATATTGTTTTTCTGTGACAGACAAAATTCCACGCGGGCGAAGCCGCGGGCGGAAAGCTAGTATAAAATCCTAATTTTGACTAACTCTTCTATCTATTGATATCAAGCATTAGGTACTTTGTTTGTTTACCAAATTTATTTATTTAGTTTATTCAGAAACTCAACAGCTATATTTTAGATATTTTTTCTCACAATGTTAGCACTTAACCTAAAAAAGAGTTCCATAATGTTCATAAATTCGCTCATTTTATTCTGTTCTAAAATGTTCGTTTGTCTTTACAGCTTCACGGCCACCGTCCGTTTGCTAGTCGGCGGGCAACTCAACGTTTATATGACCCCGCCCAGAGTCAGTGTAAGTATACTATGATTAAAACCCGGTCTCTGAGCACGTAGAATTTTGACAAAATTCTACTATACTAGACTATACTTGTAATTATTGATTTTGCCTCTTGTTATTTTTGCACTATGCCAGTTTTTGCTAATGAGTTGGATAACAATAACTGAACAAAACATTTGTTTATCCACAACAAGGAAGCTTTTGCCCTTCATCTCACCTGATGGAAAGTGATGATAAGGCTGAAGGTGGAAGGGACCTTCAACCACAGAGGAATTGGCTATCCTACCTAACAAACCTCAAACCTTGGAAACATGACAAAAAAAAAATTATAATAAATTTTAAAACCTACTAGGTCATACATTTTGAAAAAAAAAAAAAACAAACAAAATTAACGATAACTTCTAAACTACGAAAAATCGTGAACAATCATGGGGGTGAAATCGATAGGTCTAGTCCTCACCTATCACCTGCCTTCGGCTTGACACCTTACACGAAACACCCTGTATAACATCACCCTGCGAAAACGTTATTTTAAATATTTTTTTCAGTTTAAATGGAGGGTTTATTTTTAATTTCCAGGTGGCAATAATATCCGAGCAGCAAGCGCAACTGCTGCTCAAGAGCGAGACTCAAGCCGGCAAGGGCAAAGCGCCGGTCGAGTGCGGAGACATCCTCAACAACAGTGGCGTCATGGAGTACCAGGCCACCAGCCGCCAACTCAGCGTTAGCTTCAGGTAAACACCAACAGATGGCGCTGTCGCACGATAACTATGGCACGCACCGCCGCGCCTACAATCCTGCATCGCGGTGACGAAGTTTTTTACCCGGCTTAGTATATATAGAAAAACCGAGGTGTCAATAGAAGGTCCAGCTTCCTTATGTGGTCGATCTTCAAACCCCTTATCATCATCATCATCATTATCTCAGCCATAGGACGTCCTCTGCTGAACATAGGCCTCCCCCAATGATTTCTAGCAGCCTGCATCCAGCGTCTTCCTGCCACCATTATAACGTCGTCCGTCCACCTTGTGGGTGTGACTCCACTCCAGAACCTTGCTGCTTCATCGGTCGTCAGTCCTGCATAGATTTGGTCCAAATATAGGGGTGTATTTATACCATCATCTTAGCCACAGGACGTACACTACTAAAAATAGACCTACCCCAATGATTTCCATATCGCCCGGTTGGCGGCCTGCATCTAGCGCCTTCCTGCTACCATTATAAGGTCGTCCGTCCACCTTGTGGAAACTTGCTGCTTCATCGGCCGTCACTCCTGCCTAGATTAAAATATAGGGTGTCGCTTTAAGTGATCACGCAAGAATGATGGTTAATATAAGGGCAAAGCGCCGGTCGAGTGCGGAGACATCCTCAACAACAGCGGCGTCATGGAGTACCAGGCCACCAGCCGCCAGCTGAGCGTCAGTTTTAGGTAAACACCAACAGATGGCGCTGTCGCACGATAACTATGGCACGCACCGCCGCGCCTACAATCCTGCATCGCGGTGACGAAGTTTTTTACCCGGCTTAGTATATATAGAAAAACCGAGGTGTCAACTAGAAGGTCCAGCTTCCTTATGTGGTCGATTTTCAAATCCCACATCATCATCATTACCATTATCTCAGCCACAGGATATCCTCTGCTGAACATAGGCCTCCCCCAATGATTTCTAGCAGCCTGCATCCAGCGCCTTCCTGCTACCATTATAACGTCGTCCGTCCACCTTGTGGATGTGACTCTACTCCAGAACCTTGCTGTTTCATCGGTCGTCAGTCCTGCATAGATTTGGTCCAAATATAGGGGTGTATTTATACCATCATCTTAGCCACAGGACGTACACTACTAAAAATAGACCTACCCCAATGATTTCCATATCGCCCGGTTGGCGCGCCTTTCTGCTAACATTATGAGATCGTCGGTCCACCTTGTGGGTGGCATTGAGGGATTATCGTCCTTGTGGCTGGGAATATGATGATGACGATGATGGTTTCGTTTGATTCAGCCAAAAGACGTCCACTGCTGGACAAAAGCCTCCCTCTAGGAATTCTATAACGACCGGTCTTGCGCTGACCTTCACCAGGTCGTCGGTCCACCTAGTCCACGCCACGTCCTCCGGCCTGCGGTTGCCACTAGAGAACGTTAATGATGTTTATTAATAACTAGCGGCCGCCCGCGACTTCGTACGCGTGGATCCCGTTTTACCCCCTTCATCTATCTTACGCGGTTTAGATTTTTTCGTACAAGTGTTTTTTCCCGTTAACTCCCGTTCCCGTGGGAATTTTGTAATATCCTGTTGTAACTAAGCTTTACAAAGGTACCTGCATGCCAAATTTCAAGCGTCTAACTTAAACGGCTTAGACTTTTCATACAAAAGGATTTTCACCTCTTCGCACCTCTACGGTACCTAACCTGCGTTCCTTCCAAATTTCAAGTGCCTACGTTTAGCCGTTTAGGCTGTGCGTTGATATGTCAGTCAGTCAGTTTCTCCTTTTATACAACGTGTCCCAAAATTCAAGGATAAGCCGGCGCCGCAGGGTGGACATAGTCATGACTGCTTTAGGAAAAATAAGAAAAAAAATCTCAATTATTTTTTAAGTTACACAATAAATTATGAAATTCGTCGAAAATTGACACCCCTTATGATATTTTACATTACCACGACTACAATTTTTCAAATAGTTCTGTTTTTTTGTTTGTATCGGCAACTTAAGTAGTGCTGCTGTTCACCCCAATTCTTAAAACCCCCAGAATCCTTGCAATTNTAGACCTACCCCAATGATTTCCATATCGCCCGGTTGGCGGCCTGCATCTAGCGCCTTCCTGCTACCATTATAAGGTCGTCCGTCCACCTTGTGGAAACTTGCTGCTTCATCGGCCGTCACTCCTGCCTAGATTAAAATATAGGGTGTCGCTTTAAGTGATCACGCAAGAATGATGGTTAATATAAGGGCAAAGCGCCGGTCGAGTGCGGAGACATCCTCAACAACAGCGGCGTCATGGAGTACCAGGCCACCAGCCGCCAGCTGAGCGTCAGTTTTAGGTAAACACCAACAGATGGCGCTGTCGCACGAGTACTATGGCACACGTCAAGGCGCCTACAATCCTGCATCGCGGTGACGAAGTTTTTTACCCGGCTTAGTATATATAGAAAAACCGAGACGGTATCTACTGGACCTTGGTCTCAGGATGTCCTCTGCTGAATATAAGCCTCCCCCAATGATTTCTAAATCAAACGGTTGGTAGCGGCCTGCATCCAGCGCCTTCCTGCTACCATTATAAGGTCGTCCGTCCACCTTGTGGGTGGACTCCTCCTAGTCTAGTGGTCTAGTTGCCTTGTGGAACCTTGCTGCTTCATCGGCCGTCAGTCCTTCATAGATTTGGTCCTAATACAGTGTCTTCCTTAAAAAGGTCGTCATGCGCTGACCACACACAGGTTCTTCCAGCGACCTTCACCAGATCGTCGGTCCATCTAGTGTAGTGGTCCACGTAGGGTGTCGCTTTAAGTGTAGATCAAGCAAGAATGATGGTTAATAAAAGGGCAAAAGGGCAAAGCGCCAGTCGAGTGCGGAGACATCCTCAACAACAGCGGCGTCATGGAGTACCAGGCCACCAGCCGCCAGCTGAGCGTCAGCTTCAGGTAAAGCCCGGTCTGTGAGCACGTAGAATTTTGTCCAATGACCCCAAGCTACCCATCCTTATCGCTCGCGCGTATTTATGTTGCTGTCGCGCCTGTGCGACGGGCGCCCGCAGTGAGTGTGCGAGCGCGATAGCAACATAATTAAGGCGATTAGTGTCCTCAATCCGCGCCAAATGGGCATTTTGTAAAGCCTACTCCTCTTTTACTGCTGGACAGAAATAGTTGAAAAAAATATATGTTATACAACAGTTCAAGGACTACATTTGTGACGTTTGAATTTTCGCTACGTCTCTTTGTTTTGGATTAAAAAAATAAATACGGGACATCGATTTTTTACTTAAATTCCCTACTCCTCCAAAACGGCTATGTTAATTTAAAAGATTTTTGCACGAATAGATTGGGAATTCTTTAATCTTTAAATGACACGTTGCGTTTTTCAATCGAACATTACTTTCATTCATAAATTTTACTTTTGATAAATTCCGAACGTTTTGCTGTTGAGGGGGCCTTCGCGGGGTGCGGGCGGCAGTCGGCCGCTGGCCTTCAGACGGGGAGGTTGTGTCACTCGCTACAAACTGACATTAGCGATCAAAATGAATTTTTTCTTTGGCTAAGTTGCACCACCTGACGTGACCTAACTTTGACCGTAGCTTTGGCGATAACCGGTGTTTTTTGTATGGATACAAAACGACGAGTCAAAGTGGAGTGTAAGTAAAAATCGTTCAAAATTTTAAGGAAATATCATATTTTGATTAACTTTTGTGTAAAAACTGCAAGGATTCTGAGGGTTTTAAGAATTGGGGTGGACAGCAGCACTACTTAAGTTGCCGATACAAACAAAAAAACTGAAGTATTTGAAAAATTGTAGTCGTGGTAATGTAAAATATCATAAGGGGTGTCAATTTTCGACGAATTTCATAATTTATTGTGTAACTTAAAAAATAATTTAGATAGATTTTTTTTCTTATTTTTCCTAAAGCAGTCATGTCTAGGTCCACCCTGCGGCGCCGGCTTATCCTTGAATTTTGGGACACGTTGTATATATATATTTTTTTTATGTGATAGGAGACAAAAATTTAGATCAGTCTTTCCCAAAGTGGGCGATGACGCCCCCTTGTGGGCGCTGCAGGCTTAAAGGGGGGCGGTAAGAGACCCAGAAAAAAAATCGGGACGTTGTGTAGAGGCTTGCGAGGCGTCATCTACTAGGAGGACTCTTAGACACCGACCGAGCACTCGACACTCGACTACAAATGGGGGCGCTAAAAAGAATTTATTCTCAAAGTGGGCAGTAGACAAAACAAGTTTGGGAACCGCTGATTTAGATGATATTTATTAATATTCTGTTTCTTTTACAGAAACATGCAGCTTCGCAAGATAAAGCGCGCTGAGAAAAAAGGCACAGAAAGTGTCATGGATGAGAAGTTAACGCTTCTCTTCCAGTCGCAGTTTAATGTGGGAGGTGGCGAGTTGGTCTTCCAGGTCAGTCAGTCATCATCACCACAATTACAAAGCCAGTCCGTCCGTCCCCTAAAAAATCCCTAGATACATAGTTGTTTCAATTTCTAGCGTTAAGTGTTGCGTCTCAAACTAAATCTATACTAATATTATAAATGCGAAAGTAACTGTCTGTCTGTCTGTCTCTCTTTCACGTCTTAACCACAAAATCGATTTTGATGGTGGACATAATTTGAGTTCCGGGAAAGGACATAGGATAGTTTTTACCCCGGTTTTTGAAACAGGGACGCGCGCGACAAAGTTTTTCTGTGACAGACAAAATTCCACTCGAGCGAAGCCGCGGGCGGAAAGCTAATTATAAATAACTTGAAAAAATCAAACCGCCAAAGGTGGGAATTGAATCCACGACCTTTCGCTTGCCGGGCGAGCGCTCTTCCATCTGAGCTGCTTTGACACTTACTGGAGGAACAGTCGCCCAGCAGTTAGATTTTTTCAGATTATTTATAACTAGCTTTCCGCCCGCGGCTTCGCCCGCGTAGAATTTTGTCTGTCAAAGAAAAACTTTATCGCGCGCGTCCCTGTTTCAAAAACCGGGATAAAAACTATCCTATGTCCTTTCCCGGGTCTCAAACTATCTCTGCCAAATTTCATCAAAATCGGCTCAGTGGTTTAGGCGTGAAAGCAAGACAGAAAGACAGAATTACTTTCTCATTTATAATATTAGTATACAGGGTGGAATTTTGTAATGCCACCTGGACGGATAGTACTCTTAATATTGTAGATAGAAAAAAAAACTCAAATAAAACGTTCCTTTATTTTTGAAAAGAAATAGAACTGCATGCAAAGATTTCCAAAAATTTGCTTGCCACACCTGGGAATCGAACCAACTAAAGTCTGCTAAAAATTACACCCTGTATTTTTATTACATCGACCGTTAGGGTTAAGTATAAGGATGAAATCTCTCTAACAAACTTGATAAATCAAATGAAAGGAAAACCATGAAATCTTATATTATTTTAATTCTGTTACAAAAAAATGTATAGTATGGTAGTGAATTTTCTAAAAATTTTCGAAAACCTTTGAATGCATTTCTCTTTATTTTGAAAAATAAAGAAATGTTTTCTTTTAGTAAAATTTTCATTACAAAATTCCACTCTGTAGATTCCTTGATACACCAATCTTTGCTTCTAGCAGGCCTGTTTATCTCCGCGAGTTTACATCGAAAACAAAACACACACCATGGCTCACCTACAGGATACTATTCGATAAGGTCTCACATACGAGCGAACATTGACTCACGCACGCGTATTCATGTGTATGATGGAAGAAAATTAAGAAAATGGTGTACTAAATACTGTGCAGTATTTAACTGCCTAATAATAATAAAAACACAGAATGTACTTTTTTAAGTTGCCTCAAGTCACTGAGAGGTTAATAAGTAGTTCAGTTAATAATTCATGCTAAATCATGTATTTCCTCCGCCATTTTCCGCAGTTTGGCACCTCACGTCACATCATTTTACCGAAGTCAGCCCTATAGCTTCGGCGCAGTGCCGATCACTGACGTTTGTCAACAAAATGGTGCTTGACTCTTGAGACAGGCTAAATTACACCATTTGTTATGACATTGAGCATACATTTTTTTAAATACCTTCGCGAAGTAAAACTTCTGTACGTAGTACTTATTATTATTCTGTGCTTCTAGTAAATTAGATTGGCTTGTGCCCTGCAGTGGAGATCAAATGACCTGATGATCATTATTATCGCCCTCAGGTGTGGACGCTGTCTCTGCCTGTAGTAGTGATAGTCCACGGCAACCAGGAACCCCACGGCTGGGCCACCGTCACCTGGGACAACGCCTTCAGCCCGCCGGGGCGTGTGCCCTTCGCCGTGCCAGATAAGGTAGGGTAAACATGTAGACAAGGTGGTAAACATTTTGACAAGGTGGTAAACATTTTGACAAGGTGGTAAACATGTTGACAAGGTGGTAAATATTACTAAATATGCCTACAAGGTAGGGTAAACATGGTGACAAGGTAGTAAATATGTAGACAAGGTGAAGGAAACATGCTGACAAGTTGGTAAACATGTTAATAATAACATGTTGACCAAGTAGTATTGATAAGAGAGCAGTTTTACGTGCTAGACAAGGTATAAAGATCTTTATCCCACTTTATTTTTAAAGCGAATCCATAAGTGTTTTATTTCACAAAAAATATTTAATTTCTCAGGTGTCATGGGGCCAGCTAGCGGAGACGCTCCGCATCAAGTTCTACTCGGCCACGTCCGGCGGAGACTTGTCGGAGGACAACCTCCGCTTCCTAGCGGAGAAGATCTTTAGGTAAGATCAAACGCTCACAGCAAACGTTGTGATAGGGGTAAAGACATGAGATTTTTGGTTTAGCAAAGGTAATACGATGGAGAATAACACAAATTAATAAAAACCACATAAAATATAAATAATAAATAAAAAAATACATATGGGCAAGATTTGGAGATGAAATTATTTAAAAAAACACAAATTAAAACACAGATTTTTATCAAAAATGTACATTTTATTTATACTTATTGCAGTTTTATGGGTATTTTATGCATTTTTTTAGTATCATCTGCTATTTACCATCATTACACTTTTTATTTTATCAGGATATACCTCTTAGTTCAAAAGTTATAACGTTTTGTTTACTTATTGTATAAGTAATTAAAAGAAAAAATTAAAAAAATCTGACTTTTTTTTGTCATTTTTTTCTTGGATAAAAATGGGTCTAGTTTCACCCAGTTTCATATGTGCACTTTATCAAGTCTCTATAGTCTTGAACCTTATACCTTTCAGACATAAAGAGTATTTTTACTTGACTTAGGGCTGATTTTTCAATATGTCAAGATGGCAAGTTTATTCTCCAGTTAAAAGATATCTGACGATTAAAAAATCAGCCCTAAGGCCCAGAACAGACTGTGAAACTGCAACTGCTAGTTACTTTTGAGTTGCATCTAAGTTTCTGCCATAGCGTCCGATGAGAGACCACACATGACGCGACCAGTTTGAAACTTTCAGTTTCAGTTTCATTCATAGGAATCATCAGAAAGTTGCAGTTTCGTTGCAGTTGTGTTTCACCGTCTATTCTGAGCCTAACACGTCCCAGTATTAACCCTACCACTGCTTCGGGACAATAAATGGGCCAGTGCGGAGAAGAAGCAGCGCAAGAAACTCAGTCACTATTGTCAGCCTCTTTTATGACATAACTAGCGTTCGCCCGCGACTTCGGACGCGTGGACCTCGTTTAATTACTAATGATGTTGATAGATGGAGTTTAACGGCTTCCCCCGCATGAATATTTGCGAACGTCAAAATTTTTTGGCTGTAGATTTTAACCAACGACGATAGATGGCGCTTTTTACTTACGTCTTGTTATTTATTGAAATTAATTCTATCACATGTCGTCATAAATTATAGCCTATAATATGTTAATCTGGGCTATAAACAATAATACTGTAAAATTTCAACAAAATCTGTTCAGTAGTTTTTGCGTGATAGAGTAACAAACATCCAGACATCTTAACATCCACATAAACTTTCGCATTTATAATATTAGTAGGAATCCAAGCCGCGGGCAAATTCTAATACTTATTATTTGTCCACAGAACGAGTCTCCCCATGAATTTGCTGGAACTGAACGCCATGATGGTCTCATGGACTCAGTTCTGCAAGGACGCGCTGCCGGAGCGGAACTTCACCTTCTGGGAGTGGTTCTACATGGTCGTGAAGGTCACGCGCGACTACCTGCGCACGCTGTGGTGCGACGGGTGAGTTTGACCCTTATTCTTTAGGCCATAGAGTCCAATTCAGCCTGTCACATTCAGGAAGAAACGTGACTAGAGGTGAGCAGCGATGCGAGCGATTTTCCGCTTTGTCTACTTCAGAATTGAGTCGGATTTGGCTTGCGATGGTCTTGTCTCTCGAATGATGGGACATCTCCTTAGAGATGCTACCAGCCTGGTACTTTTTTCTTTGGAGGCAGCGCTCAAGTCGGATTCTCTTGATATTTTGGTGACTTCTGAATCATGGGACACCTCTTTAGTGTTCATGCCAGCCTGGTACCCTATCACACTGTTGTCATATCATAATGACTGTTAGATGAGGGATTTTGTTCCTTTTCCCATTCTGAATTAAGTCTTATTTAGCTTGCAATGGTGTTTTCTCTCGGATCATAGAACATCTCTTCAATGATCATCCCAGCCTGGTACTTTTGACTTAGTAGCTGCACTCAAGTCGCAGCTTTGACGCAGCCAGCCACTCTTCCTCAGTCTTCTACTAATGTCAGTCGCAGCTGTGACGTCAGCACAGTCGCAGCTGTGACGTCACAATGCACCTGACGTCATGATGGTCTCCTGGACTCAGTTCTGCAAGGACGCGCTGCCGGAGCGGAACTTCACCTTCTGGGAGTGGTTCTACATGGTCGTGAAGGTCACGCGCGACTATCTGCGCACGCTGTGGTGCGACGGGTGAGTTTGACCCTTATTCTTAAGGCCATAGAGTCGGATTCAGCCTGTCACATTCTCCTCCGAGGTGCCTACCCTTCGCAGTGCCCGACAAGATAGGTAAACATGTTGACAAGGTGGTGTAAACATGTTGACAAGGTGGTAAACATGGTGACTCACTTGACTTACGGTCCTATGTCCCCTAGATGGGGCAGAGGGCGTCCACAACAGTCCTGGTGATAAGGTAGTAAACATGCTGACAAGGTGGTCTTGATAAGAGCCGTTTTACGTAGACAAGGTATAAAGATGTAGACTTGTATACAGCGAGAGAAGAGTCCAGAGATGAGAAGCGGTGCGTGCGATTTTCCGCTTTGTCTACTTCAAAATTGAGTCTGATTTGGCTTGCGATGGTCGTGTCTCTCGAATGATGGGACATCTCCTTAGTGATGCTATCAGCCTGGTACTTTTTTCTTTGGTGGCTGCGCTTGAGTCGGATTCTCTTGATGTTTTGGTGACTTCTGAATCATGGGACATCTCTTCAGTGATTCTACTAGCCTGGTACTTTATGATACCGTGGCAGCGTGTGGTGATTGATAGCTGAGCGATTTTGCTCCTTTTCCAATTCAGAATTAAGTCGCATTTGGCTTGTGAATCTTGTAATGGCAGTGTCTTTCAAATCATAGAACATCTCTTCAGTGATCATGCCATCCTGGTACTTTTGACTTAGTAGCTGCACTCAAGTCGCAGCTTTGACGCAGCCAGCCACTCTTCCTCAGTCTTCTACTAATGTTAGTCGCAGCTGTGACCTCAGCACAGTCGCAGCTGTGACGTCACAGTGCACCTGACGCCATGATGGTCTCCTGGACTCAGTTCTGCAAGGACGCGCTGCCGGAGCGGAACTTCACCTTCTGGGAGTGGTTCTACATGGTCGTGAAGGTCACGCGCGACTACCTGCGCACGCTGTGGTGCGACGGGTGAGTTTGACCCTTATTCTCTAGGCTATATGTAGAATAGAGTCGGTTTTAGCTTGTAGGTATACAGCTAGAGAAGAGTCCAGAGATGAGAAGCGATGCGTGCGATTTTCTGCTTTGTCTACGTCAGAATTGAGTCGGATTTGGCTTGCGATGAGGACAATGGGACATCTCTTCAGTGATCCTACCAGCCTGGTACTTTTTTCTTGGTTGGCAGCGCTTGAGTCAGATTCTATTGATATTTTTTGGTGACTCCTGAATCATGGGACATCTCTTTAGAGATCCTGCCAGCCTGATACTTTTTTCTTTGGTGGCAGCGATTGAGTCGGATTCTCTTGATATTTTGATGACTTCCAAATCAAGGAACATCTCTTTAGTGATTCTACTAGCCTGGTACTTTGATTTATGGCTCTAGGCTATAGAGAAAAGAGTTACCGTCACGTGGGTCAACGCCTTCAGCCCTCCGAGGCGCCTACCCTTCGCCGTGCCCGACAAGATAGGTAAACATGTTGACAAGGTGGTGTAAACATGTTGACAAGGTAGTAAACATGTTGACAAAGTAGTCTAACATGTGGGCTGATAATGAGAAGTGGCGGAAGAAACTCGGTCACCTTAGTCAGCCTGTTTTTCAATTACACAACAAATACTTATATAAAACATTATTATTAATACCTGCTCTCTATTCCAGCCTGATCATGGGCTTCATCCAGAAGAAGCAAGCCGAAGAGATGCTCGCCAAGTGCACGCCTGGCACTTTTCTGCTGCGGTTCTCAGACTCCGAACTAGGAGGAATCACTATCGCCTGGGTTGGAGGTACGTAACGTAACAGATTATACTTTAACACACCTTGGCCCCGATTGCGCTAATTTGCAATGTCTTTAATTCATTCGCGTTTCATCTTCAGGCAACACTCCAGTTACACTCCATTCTCATTCCAGCTAAAGCGGTAAAGTTCACGCGCAAACAAAGACGAATCAATGGATTTAAGCACTTTCCATTAAAAGTCCAAACACCTTATTTTTTAAACTTACAATTACTAAAACACAGCAAATGTTCGTGAAAAGTTTGAATTGCGTGTGAGATAAAGTAGCTAGACGCAGTTGCGTTCCGTTTACGTTTCAGTGTCGATTTCGTTTGTTGAACTAGCTGTCAAAATGATACCGCGATACGGATTTGTCAAAACTGCTGAAGTTCGTACATCGTCCAGTTACGTTTCAGTTGAAATTTTTTAGCGCAATCGGGGCATTGTATTGGCGAGCATATGCGCGTAAGCACAAAATCAAAAATCAAAATCAAAAATATTTATTCAGTTTAGACCACAAGTGGCACTTATGAACGTCAATAGAAAATAATAAAAAAAGAAAAAGGTAGCCCTTATGGGGCACTTTACATGTCTCCTTATCTTTTGGGCCCTACCAGCGCTTCGAGACAAACATATGGCAAGTGCTGAGAAGAAACGCCGGAACAAACACAGTTACATATATAGATATGCAGTAAAGTTATACATCGACATTTAGATTGTACAACCCGCACCGCTATCCCCATCTTACAAACATGCTTTGCCTCTTTGCACTACTAGCTGATCTATGGAAATGAACAGAACAATCCGTGTATTTAAGCAACATTATACTAAAGTCTGCTGGTCCGAGCAGATAGAATTTTGTCCAATGACCCCAAGCTACCCATCCTTATCGCTCGCGCGTAATTATATTGCTGTCGCGACTGTGCGACGGGCGCCCGCAGTGAGTGTGCGAGCGCGACTGCAATTACGCGCGAGCGATAAGGATGGGTAGCTTGGGGTCATTGGACGAAATCCTATCTGCTCGGCGACCGGACTTCAGCCAGGATCTACAGCTTGAGAAATGCTAATGAAAACCTCTTTTTCCAGAGGGCAACGAAGTATTCAGTCTTCAACCATTCACATCCCGCGACCTGATGCTGCGATCGCTCGCCGACCGCGTGCTCGACCTGCCGCAGCTACAGCTGTTGTATCCCAACGTGGCCAAGGACACGGTCTTCAGCAAGTACTACACCAAGCCCGGTGAGTGCTCGCTAGGATGGGTGGCCGGCTCTTGTAGGCAAGCAACTCCGACTGTGGTTAGTTTAGGATGGGTGACCGTCTCTTATGGTTAAGCAACCTCGGCTGTGGTCACGCCAGGATGGGTGACCGCCTCTTGTGGTCACTGGGATCGGTGACCGCCTCTTGTGGTCACTTTGGGACGGGTGACCGCCTCTGAGTCTCTAAAATTGGCCATGATGGTCAAGCAACTCCAACTATGGTCACTTTAGGATGGGTGACCGCCTCCTTGAGTCATTAAAGTGACTAAGCCATGATTGTCAAGCAACCTCGACTGTGCTTACTTAAAGATGGGTTACCTTCAGCAAGTACTACACTAAGCCCGGTGAGTGCTCACTAGGATGGGTGGCCGGCGAGTGTGGTCAAGTAACCTCGACTGTGGTCACTAGGATGGGAGACAGCCTCTTATGGTTAAGTAACTGCAGCTGTGGTCACTTTAGGATGGGTGACCTCCTCTTATGGATAAGTAACCTTAGTTGTGGTCACTTTGGGATGGGTGACCGCCTCTTTGACTGGGCCATGATGGTCAAGCAACCTCGACTGTGGTCACTTTAGGATGGGTGACCGCCTCTTTGACTAGGCCATGATGGTCAAGCAACCTCGACTGTGGTCACTTTAGGATGGGTGACCGCCTCTTTGACTAGGCCATGATGGTCAAGCAACCTCGACTGTGGTCACTTTAGGATGGGTGACCGCCTCTTTGACTAGGCCATGATGGTCAAGCAACCTCGACTGTGGTCACTATAGGATGGGTGACCGCCTCTGAGTCTCTAAAATTGGCCATGATGGTCAAGCAACTCCAACTATGGTCACTTTAGGATGGGTGACCGCCTCTTGTGGTCACTGGGATCGGTGACCGCCTCTTGTGGTCACTTTGGGACGGGTGACCGCCTCTGAGTCTCTAAAATTGGCCATGATGGTCAAGCAACTCCAACTATGGTCACTTTAGGATGGGTGACCGCCTTCTTGAGTCACTAAAGTGACTAAGCCATGATTGTCAAGCAACCTCGACTGTGCTTACTTAAAGATGGGTTACCTTCAGCAAGTACTACACTAAGCCCGGTGAGTGCTCACTAGGATGGGTGGTCGCCGAGTGTGGGCAAGCAACCTCGGCTGTGGTCACTTTGGGATGGGTGACCGCCTCTTATGGTTAAGCAACCTCGACTGTGGTCACTTTAGGATGGATGACCGCCTCTTATGATCCAGCAGCCTCGGCTGTGGTCACTATAGGATGGGTGACCGCCTTCAAGGAGACTAAAGACACTGTTTTCTCCAAGAGTGAGCTGCTGAATAAGCAACTCCGACTGTGGTCAATTTGGGATGGGTGACCGCCTCTTATGCTCCAGCAACCTCGACTGTGGTCCCTTTAGGATGGGTGACCGCCTCTTATGGTCAAGCAACCTCGACTGTGCTCATATTAGGATGGGTGACCGCCTCCTTGAGTCATTAAAGTGAAAGCCATGATGGTAAAGCAGCCTCGACTGTGCTTACTTTAAGATGGGTGACCGCCTCTTGTGCTCCGGCAGCCGAGGAGCCGGTCACTTTGGGATGGGTGACCGCCTTCAAAGAGACTAAAGACACTGTCTTCTCCAAGAGTAAACTGGTAGTTAAGTAATCCCAGCTATGGTAAGTTTAGGATGGGTGACCACACCCCTAGTACTAGACTAGCTAGTCCTCGCTCACAACAGGATGACGGACTGAGAATTTATTGAAGTTTTAATTCTACCAAAATAAAGATGTTACTTATGTTCATGATACCTCTTGTATTCAAATTACAACAAAAAAATAATATCATCCCTATTATTATAAAAGATTACCGTTACATTTCTACAGGTCTATTCCCACCTCTCATTCCAACTGCTGCGACTCCTGTGTATCCAGGACCAGGATCTACTGCTTAACCGTCAATAAGTTGAATCAAATAAATCTTTTTCTTTCTTTTTATTTATGATGCACTACCGCTGCGTTTGTAGAAAATCAGCTTATTTCTTCTTTCCTCTTGCAGAGAACGAAATGCTGAAGAACGGCTACGTGAAGCCAGTGCTGGTGACAACGCTGCCGCCCTACATGTCCTCGATGGCCAGCTACGCGCACTCGCCCGATTCGCACCGGCACACGCCAGCGCATAGCAGGTAAGCTCCATCGAGCGCACAGCATAGTAGGGGGAGAAAAATTTGTCGGACCTAGCTACGAAAATTTGTCACACAGTGGACGGAGCGAACGCGGGAAGGTGTGTGAAGGAGTCGCATTCCAGCGGGAAGGCATGAAAAATCCGCCATTACGTAGACGCGAGGTCCAAATGCTGCATGATTGGTTATTTTCGACATGACACTGACAGATATGTCAAAATCCACCAATCAGACCCCACATCCACGTCCCGCCATCTAGCGGATCTTTCATTCGCGAAAACCCTCATTAACTCAATCAGAGAGCTTAGTGTGAGTTTACATCAAATGTCGTCACTAACGAGCGGATTAAATAAATATATTATGAAGATTTTAGTTCCTGAAAGTTTCCGCTAGGGGCGCTGTACAGGCCGTCATACTTTTAATGTCACTTTTACGCAGTGGACATCGAATACGTTTGACGCAAACTCACACTACGCTGGTCACAAAATTAAGAGTAGGCGCACACCGTTGATTTTTAGTTGGCCGATAGTTGTGCCCGATTTTAAATTGTATGAAGAATCGGCCAAATCGAATCGGCGTAATGTGCGCACTCCCATACATGCCCATACTGATCAACTGCCCGACTAAACTATCGGCCGACGAAAAATCAACGGTGTGCGCCACTCTTAACGTTATCATAGTGTCCATCCAACATAGTCTTTAGGGGGAGAAACATGCTAGAGAAGAAAAAGCAAGAGGAATAAAATCGCGAAGCTATCTCAGCGAGTTTCTATACGACACAGCAGGTAAGCTGCTCATCGGGTAGACTCCGTAGGCTTTCCATAAGAGGCGGATATAGCAAGCAGCAAAAGGCAACGAAGCTGTCAGTCTCAAGAAATCTGTCCATCAAGCAGTCTGAAAGTCGCACTCCCAGAGAGCACAGCAGACACTTTCGGCCGTCCATCGAGTAGCAGCGAACGGCTACGTGAAGCCAGTGCTGGTGACAACACTACCGCCCTACATGTCTTCCATGGCCAGCTACGCGCACTCGCCCGACTCGCACCGACACACGCCCGCGCACAGCAGGTAACATACATAGATACACTGCGCACCTGGCAGCTGTGACGTCACAACGCTCTGATACGGACGGAGCGTACGAGGGAGAGTCGCATTCCAGTGAGGTGTGCACTTAACTCGATCAGGTTATACATAGAAAAAAGTGTTTGTTTCTCTAAACAGGTCACAATAGCGTCCATCGGGCATAGTCTGTAGGAGAAAAACAAATGCTAGTGAAGAAGCAAGAGAAAAAGGTACGAAGCTATCTCAGGGCTCAGTACCTCTAGTAGGAAAAACTTTCGAGTTCGTTTCGTTGCGTATTCAAAGTGTCATCGAAAAATTTTGTATGAAAAATTAAACAGCGCCCCCTATATTATAGCCGCCCTAGGGGGCGCTGTTTAATTTTTCATACAAAATTTTTCGGTGACACTTTGAATACGCAACGAAACGAACTCGAAAGTTTTTCCTACTAGAGGTACAGGTTAAGCCGTCTATCGAGCGCAGAGCACAGTCCATAGGGGAGAATCGCAAAACAATCACCAAGCAAGAAGGGCACATAGTACGCAGAACTGACGGCTGATGGGGCAGCAAGGTTCTGGAGTGCGCAGCGTGTGACGTCCACCCACAAGGTGGACCGACGACCCCATGAAGGTAGCAGGAAGGCGCTGGATGGAGACCGCTTCCAACCGTGCGATGTGGAAGTCATTGGGGGAGGCCTATGTTCAGCAGTGGACGTCCTGTGGCTCAAATGATGATGGTGATGAAAAAGGGGAAAAAACCACGAAACTATCTTAGGGAGTCTTAGGGCATCTGTTCATCAAACACTGGGGCAGGCAGTCTAAAGGTAAAACGTTTAGAGAGCACAGCAGGCACGGTCGGCCGTCCATCGGGCAGCAGCGAACGGCTACGTGAAGCCAGTGCTGGTGACGACGCTGCCGCCCTACATGTCCTCGATGGCCAGCTACGCGCACTCGCCCGACTCGCACCGACACACACCAGCGCACAGCAGGTAACATACATAGATAGAAAGTTATTATATCTAAAGTCCGGTCGTCAAGCACGTAGAATTTCGTCCAATGACCCCAAGCTACCCATCCTTATCGCGCGTAAGCGCTCCTGCACACGACGCCACGACTTTGCACTGTTCATACGCGCCGCGTAAAGTCCGTGGTCGCGCCGCCACCGCTGCACCGCGCCATCAAAGCATAATTTCGCTGGCGGCGCAGGAGCGCTAATTATATTGCTATCGACTGTGCGACGAGCGGCAGCAGTGAGTGTGCGAGCTTCTACGTGCTCGGCGACCGGACTTTACAAGTCACAAAATAGTCTGTAGGAGGAGGGACTTTTAAGAAAAAAAAATGGTAACTTGAGGAAGATTGAGGAAAACGGTCACTAAACTATCTCAGGGGAGACTCAGGGACTTTATCTATGGGAAGCAACAGGTAAGCCGTCCATTGAGCACAAAGCATATAGTCCGGTCGCTGAGCATGTAGAATTTCGTCCAATGACCCCAAGCTACCCATCCTTATCGCTCGCGCGTAATTATATTGCTGTCGCGACTGTGCGACGGGCGCCCGCAGTGAGTGTGCGAGCGCGACAGCAACATAATTACGCGCGAGCGATAAGGATGGGTAGCTTGGGGTCATTGGACAAAATTCTACGTGCTCGCAGACCAGACTGTACAATACTATGACAAAATTTAATGTCATTTGTAGAAAATATCGACCCCATATACTAAACTGTCCTACCCGTGACATTGACAGCGAGGCGCCACCGTCAATACCGGATCGCTGGTTCCGATTTTTGCCCTGTTGGAAACTATATACAGTTGAACGATGGTGGCGTCCCCCTGCCAATGAATTTGGTGGGACAGTTCAGTTTAGGTCATCCATATTTGATGGCACGATTCTAAAACTAAAAAGTACAGTTATAGTTCGCGCACCGAGAGTTGAGGCAATCAACACTAGCAATGATTTGTTTCTGACTGACAAGCGCTTTGTGTCTCGCTTGCACACATCCGATATATTTAGAAAGAGCGCGAGGTAGCACTATTCGATATTTGAATGTGTAATATTTATATTGTTGTATCGTATTCGCCTCAACTTTCTTCGCGCGACCTATGATGCGTTGTTTATAGCAAAGTATAAAAAAAATCCTATGTTCATTTCTAGCACATTTCGCACGCTTGTTTATTATTTCCTCAAATGCAACATTTTATATTATTTTACCTTTTTTCTTTCCTTCACTAGGTACATGATAGATTTCTAACGCCCCGCGTCCAGACAAGGCTTATTCCTAATTTAAATCTAGTTTATTTATTTTAAGTTTAAAATAGTCACATCCTGAGTTTTTTATATTATTTTTTTCATACACAAAATTCTAAAGTGCCTTTAAAATTAAGAGCTTCCTTCTATTGAATATATTTATAGTTTGCGTTTTATAAACTTTTAGGGTAAGTTTTTTATAGATTTTTTAAATTAAAATGACATAATTTATCTGAATTTTTTCAACATATTGACATGAAAGAAGTTTTTTGCCTCTTGCCAATGTATGCTTTGACATCGCACTGTTAATACAATAGTGGTGTAACTCAAAAAGTGACTTTTTTGAGGAACAAACAAAACTTTCGTATTGAGTTACAACGCTATTATATTCAGTCGGATATAATAAAATGTAATTGGTTACACCACCAATCAATTAACGTACTTTTTTGAGTAGTAAAAATGGATTTTTTTGTTGCGTCTCCGCTCAGTTATGTACGTTTGAAGTGTTTCAACTTTTAACTACCCAATTTGTCGATCACAATTAAAGCCAAGCTTTAACAAAATAACACTGTACTTGGCTCGAAGCAAACGTTTCATAAAATCAAACGATTAAAGACATTATCTACAAGGTTAATACAATTTGTTAAGTGTATATCGAAATATATATTGGTATACTTCTTTTCTAGTTGTGGACCGACCATTCTGCAGTTGTAAGAAGATTAGTGTAACGATATACACAGATATGTTGACTTTTGCCCTGTTATGTTAGAGTAAGGCCTCAGCCTCGAACTTAGCGGGCAGCGGGGCGGCGGCGGCGGCGGCGCGGGAGCGGGGCGGGTAACGCAGACCCGTTCTCGAAACAAGCGGGCAGCTCGCGCGGCGCTTTAGCGGCGAAGTGTTGTGTTCGGGGTTGTGTTGTCGAGATATTTGTTTTTATTCGCGAACGAAATGTCTGAACAACGGCGACAATTTTATTTCGATTCAAATTTATTCCTTACGCTCGATTTATTGTGGGCAAAAGAAGGAGTGCGCTGCCCGCTCGTTGCCCGCTCCCTCGCCGCTGCCCGCTCGTTGCCCGCTGCCGCCCCGCTGCCGCGCCGCTGTTTTCGAGAACCGGTCTATTTGATTTTACGCATAAGATCCTGCCGCTCCCGCCCCGCCGCCGCTCCCGCGCCGCTGCCCGCTAAGTTCGAGGCTGAGGCCTAAGAGCGGGGGCTAGAAGCTATAAAACGCTATATTATTATGTTAATAAGGTCTAATTGGTCACCTAAATCTTGCTTATAAATGTGATTGGTAAAAAATCTATTATAAATTTATCATTCTGTCGTCGTGTTGGAAAAATGCATAACTTGCATTCTGTGAAATTCGAATAAAAAACGATTAACGAACAATGAAGGAGTGCTTCGACACGTATTCAATACAAATCAAATCAATTAGGGCCTAGTTGAATTGACCAACAGTCACTCAAAAAGTGACTTTTTGAGCCTAGTAACTAGGCTATATTCATCCCACTGTTGGACCATAGCTTGATTTCAGATCTTTTTGAGTTGTGCCCGTATACGTTTTAAATCGACAGAATAATAATATTCATGTCAATTTTCGCACTTAAATATTAAACCAATACAAGCTTCTAGCCCCTTGTGTTCAGTGATCAACACTGGCATGTATACTTGTCAAATATTGAACCGTATCCCGTTGTATTAAAGTTCAATTTGCCAAAAGTGGACATTCCTGTGTTGATTGCACGTGTAAGCGAACCCTCGGCCAAAGTACTGTTTTCCGTGCCCCTGGGCTTTTATGCTATTTGACGGTAGATTAAAAATAATTAGGGTTATTGATCGATGTCGTAGTACCACGGATAATACGTAATTTTATATACAGAGTGTATAAAAATCATATCTAATCAAAAAAGGGTGATTATATTGCTCAAATTATTCAAGCAATATGTTACCATTTTTTGATTGGATGGTTTTTACATGCTGTATTTTAATATAAATCGTTACACAAGGCACATGTTTTTATCATATATATTTTATAATTCGTAAGTTTATATTGTATATTTTATAATTATACTCTTATTATATGCATATTTCTGTATACTATATTCACGCTATATTAAAAATTTGCTCTCAAAAAAACGTGGTACATGTTATGGAGTATTAAAATTATGTACTAAGTATTATTTATTGCATTTAAATGTCCAAAATATTGGATATACAAAATTATATATCTGTAGGACGAATGAGGGTTTATATACACCCATTTTCATATCAAAAAGTTTAAGTAAATACTAAAACTAGGTCTTAAACTAATGATTAGAAGAATTTAATTCTATTGGTATATTTTTTCTCGTATACTAAAGTTGGGTTTCGGACACTAAAAAATATGTTAAAAATTATATCACTAGTTACAATGGAAAAAATTAATCTAAAATTTTCTATATTTTTCGGCTGCTCATAAAATGTAGTAAAAAAATATATATCTAAATATACACGACTATTAATATAATTATACGTCAATTATACCATCAGAACAAAAAAAAACATAGTAAAAACCGCCCCATACATTCGTCCTGTACTGTGATCTGGAATATTGGAACAGTATTAATTATACTAAAATTAATGTAAGTTTTAAATTTATAAAAATCAGGCGCTCAATATAAAAAAATACTAGTATTATACAAAGAAATTGGAGGCTTTTTTTTACAAAATGTCAGTATTACCACAGATAAAAAAGCAATCTTGTGAAATCACTTCAGCTTACGAA